GGGAGTCTCTCTGTGTCCTGAAGCCTGAGCAAGACAGAGTCTGAGGCTGGGCACTGTGGCTCACACCTGTAATCCTAGCACTTTGGGAGGCCGAGGTGGGTGGATCACCTGAGGTCAGGAGTTCAAGACCAGCCTGGCCATTATGGTGAAACCCCATCTTTTAAAAAAATATATAATATATATATATATGTATAGAAGAATCTGAGAAAGGCCAGTGCAGGCAGAGAGAACAGATGTGCAGAAGTGCAGAGGAGAGCAGGATGAGGCAAGTGGCTGGGTGCTCTGGAGAAGGTAAGCCACCCTATGTGCCATGCTAGGAAATAGTGTATTGTCTTTGCAAGCAGCCAAGAGTCTCTGGAGGTGTTTAATCAGGAGAGTCATATTGTCCGACGTGCATTTTATAAATAAAAACTAGAAGCAGGAGACAGGAGGAAAGGAGTCCCATCGGAAAGAAGGTTGTTGCAAGGATCACATCGAACCATAAGAAAATCCTATTAGTCCTACTTTGAGCCACAACCCCTCCACGGCTGCCACCCTGCTCTAAGCCACCATCACCCTCAACTGACTAGCTGTGCACACCTAGATGGCTTGGTTCATCCCAGTAAGCCTCAGCTGACTCAGCTAGCAAATGGGATACTAACCGCCGCCTCACCAGGTAGCAGATGCTTAAGGCTCTGGCTTTGAGGCTCAAACCGACTAGGGTTGAGATTCAGCCCCACTGTTTACTCGTAGTGGCACCCTGGACAAATAACCCTGCAGGGCCTGCACTGCCTCACGGTAAAGTGGGGATAATGGCAGTTCCTCCACCTCATGGGCTGGAGTATAAAGAACCAGATGTCTGTAAACACTGCATAGGGCACCCAGCAGAGTCTGTATGTTACTTCACTTTCCCGCTCCATCCAACAAGCCAGCATCTCTTAGCATCACTTAATCGCCAGCAGGATCTGACAACCCTCAATTCACCTACAAGCATCTTGCCTTATCTTAGTTTTAGCCCTCTATAGGGCAATGCTCACCATGAGTCACCACATTCTGAAAGAACCTGTGCCTACATGGAACCTGCACAGGATCTGTTTCCTCTTCCCAGGGGCCAGAAATGGGGGCAGCAAGACTATGTCACCTTGTTTCTGAACTCACAGACTTTACCCTCCCCTCCGCTTTCAAAGAGGCAGAAACTGCGAGAACCTAAAATAGTGGCCACACCACTGTTGATGGAATGCCTGCCAGATATCGGGTGTCGCCATGCACAGTCAATTCCATGAGGGCTTGCGCACATGAAGCATCCACTGGTCCCATTCAGGCAGCCAACCAGACCCTCATCCATGCAAAACACAGTGACTTTGGGGTTAGATACGTCTGTCACTTTAGTAAGTTACTTAACCACTCTGTTCCTCAGTTTCCTCATCTGCAAAGCAGCGACATTCATGAAATCAACTCAAACTGTTGTGGCGATTCATTGAGCTCATTTAGGCAGAGGGTCTGGCTCAGTGCCTGGTACACGGTCAGCACTTAACAAACGCTAGCATTGCCAGTGCTCCATCACAGACTTCCCCATGCGGTGTCATAACCGAAAGTTTACTTGCAAACTTGCAACTCGTCCTTCTCCTTGAGGATGTGAACCTCAAGCAGGCAAGGCAGCGTCTCTCTTGCTCATGAATGTAGTCCCTAGGCCAGTGACTGGGTGTAGAAGGTGGCCGAAAACTTTTACTGTGGCATGAATAAATGAATGCATGAATGAATGCATCCCAATGTGGCAGCTGGGACTCAGGCCAGCTGAGGTAACCCACACCGCAAGGAAGGAAGAGGCAGAAGCAGGAATAGGCATTCAGGCGTGGGATCCCCAGCCTCCTCGGTCCACCACCGTGAGCGGGGCCAGCATCCTGTCCAAGCCCTGGGTGCGGCAGATGAGGAGACCCAGTCGTGGCCCGTTTGGGCTGCTGTCTAGGATCACACACAGAGCGGGATGGAACAGGCACTCGGGGGACCCCAGGCCAACTCTCTCTAGTCACTCGCCGCCTCCTTTCAGGAGCAGAAGGGGACCCCTATGCGCGCAAAGTCCCCAACCAGGCTCAAGGGGTCGCAGAGCCTGGGCTCCAGGCCGCGGGACCGAGAAGCCCCGCGCCCCGTGCCTCCCCTCCGCTGCCCGCTCGGCGGACCCACCTGGTGCCGCGGGCCCCTGCGGCCCGCGCGGCAGCCGAGCCAGAGGCCGAGGCCGAGGCCGAGCGCGGCACCCAGCAGCACCGCGGGGGCCAGCAGCGCGGGCTCCGGCTGCAACGCGTCCCGGCCCAGCAGCAGCCGCGCGTCGCTCTTGCAGGCCGCCACGCCGCGGGCCATCGGGGGCGCTCAGGCGGCCGCCCCGCCGCATCCCGCCGCCTGGTGCACAGTCCCCGCCACGGCGGCGACGCGGGACCCGAAGGCCGGGCGGGTCAGGGGCGCGGCGCGCTCCGCACTTTCCGGCCTGTGAGGTCTCCCGACTCCAGCTGCTTTCCCCTTCCCAGCTTCGCCGAGCCCGAGGGAGGAGCCTAGATCACCGCCCAAAACTTTCAGCCACCCCGGCCCCAGCCCTGCCCTTGCACTGAGCATGCCCAGCGAGGGGCTCGCCTCCCAGCCCGGGACCCTTCCGGAGGGAGCCGGGTTTCCACGGGGACTCCTGGGTTCCTGGGGAGAAAGAGGAACCCCGACCACCGAGGAAGGCGTTGCTCCTTTAACTTTATTGAGGTTTAGAATATGCCAAGCATTTAGCGTCACGATCCCATTAACTTTCTCCATAACCCTCTGAGGTGGGTGCTCCGCCCATCCTCCTGATGGCGCTGGGACCAATGCACGTCCACCCCACTGCCCTTGTCCCTAACCTCTACCCATCAACCTTCCCGGGGCCACACCACCCTCCGCACCTCTGAACTTGCTCACGCAAAGACTCCCGTTTTAATCTTATTTTCTCCCAGGGAAGGTCAAGACAATAGAGAGACCGTTATGCCCAGTCTCCCTAGGGTGATGAATAGATGGAGAGACGCTTACACCCAGTCCCTGCTAGGACCAGGGCACTGCACCATCATCATCTAGTCAGCACTTGGGGAGAATCTGCTGAGTGAGTGTTGCAGGGTTGGGGGATAGGCCAGCCACAAACGAAATGGTATCAGGGGCATTGAACATCTCACAGTTGTTTAGAGGGATAAACAATTAGATGAGTTAATCACCCTGCGTTCGCTTTAAGCAAACATTTATGGAGTAGCTATTAGATGTTTGCTTTCATCCGGGGTGCCTGGGTAAAGCACACATGCGTGTACACGAATGCACACTTGCACACGTGCACACACATACACACACACACACTCCTACCCTGTGGAGCTTAATTCCTTGTGCGGGCTGGGCTCGGGGACACCATGAGGATCTGCTTCAGCAGAAAAGAGCTTTGTCCTTTCCCCCTTAATGTCCAGCTTGTTTCTACTTTATGTCATCATTTCCTCATGGCAACATGGGAACTGTAATCCAAATTCTTCATCCTCTTTATAAATGAAGAAACTGACAGAGAGGAGAGGTGACTCATTTAACCTCTCGAAGTTACCGAGTGGGACAGAAATCCTGTCCCATTTACACCTGTGTCTCTCTGGCTTGAGGGCAAACTCTCTGCTATGTGGAGCTTCTGATATATTTCCTTAGAAGCATCTCCAGGGTTCCTGGGGACACAATAACTTGATGCTCTTGCTTTATGAGTATTTCCGTGAATACTACGCAGGGTATTTCCATCAATGCATAGGCTTTAGTTTTTAAAATGTGATGTGTGGTGGCTCACGCCTGTAATCCCAGCACTTTGGGAGGCTGAAGTGGGAGGATTGTCTGAGCCCAGGAGTTTAAGACCAGTCTTGGCAATATAGTGAGGTCTTGACTCTATAAAAAATAGCAATAAGAAGAATTTTTAAATGTAGGGTTATTTGCATTTTACTTTATCATAAAGTTATTTGACTATTCAATTAACCTTTAAATTACTGACTGTTAAGTAACAGTGATGGTCCAGCAACTTGCCTGGCATTTAGCCTGTGGCCTTGTCTCATGCTGACAGCTGCCTGGTAACCCCTGGTGTGGGGAACTTGGCTTATAAATTCTCAGGTTCTCAAATCCAGTGGCCTTGTCCATGCTAGGTCAGGAAAGGCCTGTCCTTGGATGGCCTGGGTTATGGGAAAAGAGGCTGCCAGGGGCCAGGATCTCTGGCCTGAGACTTTAGACAGCCTAACCGGCTGCCCAGTAGGAAGGCTGGCAGGAGTGGAGCCTTCTCCCGTCAGCACGTTTCAGCTGTCACCCAGGACCTAAGCAGGATAAGGAGCAGACAAAATGCTCCACCAGTCCTCCTTCCAGTGTCTTCCTCCTCCTGCCTCCCTTGGCAAAGCAAACCTCTGTGCCCACAGAGTTCAGGGAGAGCTTGCTCAGGGCTGCGACTTCAGACACCAGCTCCCCAGAGAAGTGTCCCAGTGGCTGGCCCGACTGTCTCCCATTGGGAATGCGAGGGGCACCCGGACAGGCCCAGGGCTGATCCACAGCGGGCTCGGGCAGTGGGTGCCCCGCACTGAACGCAGCCGGAAGTGAGGGTGCTTTCCTTCTCTCCCGCCCCTCCGAGCCGTCCTGAACCCTCCGGCTGCTCCGCGACTCCTGGCCCCGCGCTCCAAACGCTTCTCCGTTTTCTAAGCGGGGATGGGGAAACTCCGGATTCAGACCCCTGTGTCAGGAAAGGGTTTCCAGGGGAAGTGCGTCTGAGCTGAGGCTCACAGACCCGGGTAGGTGGCTGCGGAGGGGCCCTGGAGGCCCCGGTACCTTGCGGAGCAGGGGAGTGACCCGCCCTGATTTGGGTTGGGCGCGAGCACCGCGGGCCGCGCCAGCCCGCTCTCCCCCTCCCACGCCCGTCCGGCACCTCCAGCTCGCCGAGCCCCAGATGCGGGTGTTTGTTCCAGAAAACTTTCGGCGGCGGCTCGCACTGAGCATGCTCGGCGGCGGGGCGGGCCCGGGGTCCGGAAGCTGCGGCGACTCGGCGGCGCCCGCCGCTCGGAGGCTGTGGGTCCCCGCAGGCGATGGGCCCCGCGGGCTCCTGGGAGCGCGCCACGTGGGTGCTGGCCGGGGGCCTCCTGGCGGTGGCGCTGGCGCCAGGGGGCCGAGGCTGTGTCGGCGCCAGCTCAGGTCCCCGCTGGCGCCCCCTCGGCGCGCAGCCACCCCGGGACGCTCCGGTGGCTCCGGGGTCTGGGCCTGGCCTAGGGAGCGGGGCGGGGCCCGAGAGCAGCACGCAGGTAAGGAGGACCCGCCCCCAAGCTCCTGTCCGACTCCCTGAGCTTGGCTCCGTCTACACCGGCGGTGGCGGGAGGCCCCTTAGTATTGCACAAAGAATGTGGAAGGGAGGGCAGGATTTGAGTAGGGTGTCTCGCGGCCCTTAGGTGTATCTGGCTCTTGTCTCTTGTCCAGAAAGCTTCGAGGGAAACTGGAGACCTTCCTCAGGTGTGGCAGCTGCGGGCTTGGACTTCACCGGTGACCGGGTTCGAATCCAGCTCGGCAATTGAGGAGCTTTGGCCTAGGGCAGGTCACTCCTGTTTCCTGATCTGTGAAACGGGGCCGTCTTGGCGTCCACCCTGGAGGGTGGAAGTGGGTTAGATGAGTTCACGCATGCGGAGCGCCTTGCAGAGGCCAGCACTGGGAGATTGCAGCAGTGGCTGTTGAAAGTGGGGACTCTGGGCTGGACTGTTAGCTGACTGCACTCTCCTGGCTGATGGATTTAGCCACTTCCTACTTCACCTGGCCCTCCCTTTGTGGTCATAAACTGGAAAGGCGTAGATTCCTGGCTGTCGACCTAGACTTGACCTCCCCCTGCAAAGCTGGTCATCAGTCTTAGTGCCTTTTTCTCAGCTCAGAGGTCTGCCCCTCCTCCCTGCGCACTGCCACCTCCTGGCTTCAGGCCCCACCATTTCACCTCCAGCCCTTGGTGGTGGTTTTCCCACGTCTCCCATCCATTTCCCCCCAGACCTCTGGGGTGGCCTGTCCTGGGAGAGACCCCGCCACCCTCCTCCCCTGCTGGCACTCTCCCCAACTTTATCGCTTCTGGCAGCACACCCAGACTTCTATTCCCAGGACTGCCCTGACCAGTGGACTGGCCCATTGATGCTGCCCTGGGGTCCTCCCAGCTCTTCCCCAGGGCAGTGGGTCCTGTCCTGCCATGTTCTGTACCCCAGGACACTTGTGACACTTGTAGAGGTTTAGTCTCTTAAAAGAGACCTTGCTCCTGGCGGGGCGTGGTGGCTCACGCCTATAATCCCAGCACTTTAGGAGACCGAGGCAGGTGGATCACCTGAGGTCGGTCGTTCAAGACCAGCCTGACCAACATGGAGAAACCCCGTTTCTATTAAAAATACAAAAATTAGCCAGGCATGGTGGAGCATGCCTGTAATCCCAGCCACTCAGGAGGCTGAGACAGGAGAATCGCTTGGACCTGGGAGGCAGAGGTTGCGGTGAGCCGAGATTGTGCCACTGCACTCCAACCTGGGCAACAAGAGTGAAACTCTGTCTCAAAAAAAAAAAAAAAAAAAAAAAGAAAAAGAAAAAAAGGGAGAGACCCTGCTCCCTTTCTGTCTTTAGGTTTTCACTGGAGAAATGTCATGTCAGTGTCCTGAGCTTTCAAAAGTCCAATGACAGAACATGTTTCCTGGATCTTTTCACTTGCATCTGCCCTTTGAGGTGGGAGTATCTGGCCTATTTTGCAGGTGACAAAACCAGGACTCAGGGAGCTGCATTCCCTGGCCCCCAATTCAGAGCCCGCATGCCTGGCCTCACATGCTTAGCGCAGGCTCTTCTTCTGGGAAGCCAGTGTCAGAAGATCCTGGTGCGCACTGATCTCTTGTCAGCAGCAGTGGTGCTGAGGGTGGTCCCTGCCTGAAGGGAGACCGGTGCCTACTGGGAAGGGCCTGAAGCCGTCTAGGACCACGGTGTGCCTAGAACACCTCACCCTCAAGGGCCGCCTCTGCCTTTGCAGGAACCTGGGAATAAGCATCTGTGTTCATGCCCTTGGTGTCTTGAGCGCCTCCCCTGGGCTCTGGCCCAGCGCAGCCCATTTCAGCTGTCCCAGTGGCCAGCCTTCCTCCATCAATCTGGGCCTGTCTTGGACAGCCCTTCTGCACAATGTATAGGAAAGAGCTTGGGCCATGTGTGCCCCTGCCATGGCCACTCCCTCTTGGGCCTGAGGCAAGTCACAGCCCTCAGGGTCTCTGCTTGCTCTTCTGAGCAATGGTGTAAGGCCTAGTTCCAGAGCACGGTTCCTGAAGGCATGGGTTCGTCCTTCCTATTGTAATTATTTGATGCCTTCATGTCTCCCTCCTTCCATCTATCCATTCATTCTTTCAATATCTACATAGGTATTTATTGCACCTTTGCTAAGTCCCATGATGTGTGCAGGGGGCTGGGAGACCAATGCCTAATTGCACACAGTGATTGCCATGAGGAGGATTATGGGGAGCAGTGAGAGAGGGTGGAGGAAGGAGGCCTTTAGTCTGGGATCAGTCGAGACTTGAAGGATGAATAGATTTAGCCAGGGAAAGAGTGGGGAGAGAGCATCCCAGGTGGAGGAATCATCACGGGTGTGGCTGGCATGTAGGAGGGGCGTGGCATAGTCCAAGTCTCTTGTCCCCCTATGCTGGGACATCTCTTGTTGAGGACGTTTACCACGTTGTTTGGGCTGCTTGTCTGTCTCTTTTGCTGTACCGTGAGTTCTTGTGGGCAGGGATTTTACCTTTTTAAATTTCTTCATTTGATGCCCACTGGGAATGCCTTTTTTTTTTTTTTTTTTTTTGAGACACAGTCTTGCTCTGTCACCAGGTGGGAGTGCCGTGGCACGATTGGCTCACTGCAACCTCCGACTCCCTGGTTCAAGCTATTCTCCTGCCCCAGCCTCCTGAGTAGCTGGGATTATAGGCATGTGCCACCACATCCAGCTAATTTTTATATTTTTAGTGGAGATGAGGTTTCACCATGTTGGCCAGGATGGTCTCGATCTCCTGAGCTCATGAGCCACCCGCCTGGGCCTCCTAAAGTGCTGGGATTACAGGCATGAGCCACCATGCCTGGCCGGAATGCCTTTTATTCCCAAGTGATTTTCAAGGTGGGGACTAGGGAATCCCCGGGGTCGCTGAACCATTATGGGGGTCCATAAGAGTCAGAGCTATTTTCATAGTAATACTGAGATATTATTTACCTTTTCTATTCATTTTCTCACAATTGTGTGTGAGGTTTTTCAAGGTGACAGGAAGTGTGGTGTTGCCGCAGATTTAATGTATCAGCAGACTTGAGAATCCGGCTCTTCCATTAACTCAGACATAGATGAGGTTCACAAAAATGTAAAAAATGCCATTTTTCGGCCGGGCGCGGTGGCTCACGCCTGTAATCCCAGCACTTTGGGAGGCCGAGGCGGGTGGATCACGAGGTCAAGAGATCGAGACCATCCTGGTCAACATGGTGGCACGTGCCTGTAATCCCAGCTACTCAGGAGGCTGAGGCAGGAGAATTGCCTGAACCCAGGAGGCGGAGGTTGCGGTGAGCCGAGATCGCGCCATTGCACTCCAGCCTGGGTAACAAGAGCGAAACTCCGTCTCAAAAAAAAAAAAAAAAATGCCATTTTTCTCACTTTTTAATTTTAGAAAATAGTTTTAGTTTATTTAGTTTTCATAAAGTATTCTGTTTACGTTAATATGAAATGGCATTGTTATTCCTATTTAAAATGAATTAATAGACACTTTAAAATATTCTCACCTTTAAAGAGAGTACATGTTGATAAATATAATCAGCACAAACAAAAGATTTTTGGAGCCTTCAATAATTGGCAAATGTGTAAAGTCCCAATACCAACAAGTCTGAGAATCACTGCTCAGCAGCAAGCCTTATCGGATGTCCCAAGACTTAGAGATGAAAGAAACTGCCCTGCCCCTTGGAAAGATAAGTGTCTACAGTATTTCAGAATGGGATCCTTCAATCATTTTCACCATTTCATTATGCTAATAGTATCATTTTGTTATTTTACTTCAAATACCAAACAGCAGCAATTTAGGTTGGTTGTGATGCCAAATTCAGTGGATTGGGTGTGTCCCAAGGTCAAGGAATTTGTAGAAAACAACAAAAAAAATCAGCCGGATCCGAGGTAGCATTATCTGTTACCCTGTGTAATTACTGTAGCTTTGAAATTGCAGCCTTGGAATTCCGAGTTAGGAGACGCATTAGTCAAATAAACTCACACCTGTGATCCCAACACTTTGGATGGTGGAGTCAGGAGGGTCGCTTGAGGTCAGGAATTTGAAAGCAGCCTGAGAAACATAGTGAGACCCCATTTCCATATATATATATGTTTTTGTTAGATGGGTGTGATGGCACGTGCCTGTATTCGCAGGTTCTCAGGAGGCTGAGGCAGGAAGATGGCTTGAAACCAGGAGTTTGAGGATGCAGTGAGCTGTGATCTCACCATGCACCCCAGCCTGGATGGCAGAACAAGACCGTCTCTCAGACAACGACAACCAAACGAAGCTATTCATTGGGTTCTCTTGATGCTTCTGTGAGGCTCCTGGGGATAGAGCCCTCAGCACGCCCGAGTCTCTGCTTTCCTGAAGTTGGTGCTCAGTGCTGCTCTGAGACTCACATTCCTCATCTGCAAAGTGACGATTTCATAGTTACCTTTTGGCATTATCAGAGATGATAATGATGATGATGATGATAAGAACAGTAACAAGAGCAGTGATCATAATAGTTTTGATGATATGCAGTAAGCCCTCACGGAACATAGATAGGTTCCTGGATACTTTAAGCAAAAAGAAGCACTGTCTGCCGTAGAAACCTAGCTCTTGTCTATATAAACTAGCCTAGAGTAAAATTGGTTTTGCTATACAGTATGCCATTTGGCTTAAAGTCAGAGTTTCCATGACCCTATCAATGATGTTAAGTAAGGACTTACTGAATGGCAATACATAGTAATATGTAGTAATAACAGCAATAATAACAATTATATATGTGCTGTGTATTTACTGTGCTGAGCACTGTGCTAAATGCTTTATATTTATTGTTAAAGTTTCTTATGAAGAGGATATAATATCCCCATTTTACAGATGAGGAAACTGAGGCCACAGTGGCTTCAGGTGAAGATGCTCACCCAGACTTGCCTATCCCAGAGCACTTGCTGTCAGTGTCTACACTCTAGAAGAAAGTGCTATGTAAACCTGAACACAAGCATTCTGTGCTAATTTATTATTTCTTTCTTCTTTCAAAG